CACAAGGTTTTAGGCGCCTAAGGTAACGGATCATTCGGATAAGAGTACAGTCGCTGCAGGTGCATTCTTGCATTTCGCTGTATTTCATATTGGTGAAGCCATAACTTCGCGAGCTTCAACCGATCCCATCTTTATGGAATTTTCCATAACTCGCGACGAATAATGAGTGTACTATCTAATATGCAAACAAGCCAACAGTCTTTAAAAGAAAGCTTCAAAAACGGATCGCCATCCAAAAAACCACTTATTGAAAATCAAGCTATATCTAGAAAGAAAAAGGTGATGGTATTAATGCTCATTGATCAATTTTTTTAAAAAAAATATAATACTGTTATGTTACCTTTAAAGGGATTCTAAAATAGAATAAACTAACAGTCGAAATTTAAATTCTGCACGTTCTGATGAAAGAAGAGATATTAATTTCACACAAAAGTCTTTGTTCTATTATTAGTGAAAATAATTGCCTTACACAAACTTATTAAACAAACTTATATACAATAATATCTAAATTGATATATTATATTAATATATACTATAACATCTATTAAAAAGTTTTTGTTTACCTTTTGTATATTTTAATATCCGACTACAGTAGTTACAGTTTTCAGCTATAAATAATTTGTTCTTAATAAAAAAAAAATAATTATGCCATAGATTCCAAATTTCCTAAGTTACATCGTAGGCCTATTGTGAATATTTTTTTATGTTGCAATGCTCCTATCATTATAATCTAATGGCTTCAAAATAAAATTCTTCGGAACATTGTCAATGCCAAATGACAACTTCGATATTCAACAAGATTTTAACAATTCAACTAAGGAATTAAGATGAATTACTATACCAGTCCAGAGACGTATTAACAAAGGAACTAGAAATTTTATTTGAAAAATTTAATATAAAATGAAAAGATTGATAAAGATCATTGATACAATGTTCTATAGTTCTATAGTTTATACAACTATTTCAATACTGTACTCTTAACAAAAATCGTGACACTAACTAAAAAAAAATTAACTATAAACACTTGGCTCTTCATCAGGCTTAGTTAAGACATTGCAGTAAAAACTAGACCTTCAAATATTTTTCGAACTGCTTGAACTCTAGAGTATTTCTACAAGGCATATTAAACCATATCAAATAAAGTATATTAAACTCTATTGAACTCCACTTTGTTTAACTTCATCTTAGCTTTTCCCATAAAATCTCAGTTCTACTTCGATTTGACTCTTGCCTGTGTTGCGTTGCAGCCCCGATCCACAGCTGCCTTGAGCGTGGTAATAATGATTTTTTTTATGATGTCTTCTGCAGCCCCTCATATAATGTGACTAAGCCATTATATTTAAGGATCATAATATTCTCGGTATTAGATGATTACCTGATTCTGAATTATAATTTCGTGTTTAGTTTTGTATTCAAACAAAATACTTGTGGTTTGTCAGCACCACACCAAAGAGGTCAAAACTTTGAAGCAGTTCGACATTGTTTGTGATTATTTCCAGCTCCATACAAAAGTGAAAAATTTATTATTTTAATTTTTAATACAACTAAATATATTCGTTATTTCATTAATCTATACCATTTTCAGTTAGACAAATGACAGAAGCCATGTCGTACATATCTTATTCAATTATGTTCCTTAATTTTATATTAATTTGGAATGTATTTAAATTAATAATGAAAAACAAACTAACTATATTCTATATTCTTTTATTTGAAAAACTAGTTAGTTTGAATTACTACTTTTTAGAGTATTCAATACGTGAACTATTAGTGTATCTAATAATTTTTTATAGGTGCCCCCGTTTTCTGTCCGTAATAATATTAACATTCTTTTGCATATTTCATTTAGATATTTGTTTTAAATTATTTCTAGTAATTTAAAAACCAAATACAATTAGTTTTCTTTTACGAAATGAATCCATGGTCATTTAGCAGTTAGCATTTTTGCCATATATTTATAATTTATTGCTTATAAACATTTTTCCACAAATTTCATAAATAAATGGAATGTATAATTGCAAATAAATTTGCAAAAATATTTTTAAAAATAATTTTTGCAAATAATTAATTTTTTTTTCAACAAATCTAAGTGTGGAAAATGCATTATCTTCAGTTGGAATCTTCTTATTCCAATTCAGCTAATTCCTTTGTCTAATAAGCTAAACAGAACAAATTCTCTAACACACGAAGTGAAGGGAAGACATTATGCCAGCTGAAGTCATGATTTCACGCACCAGTGATACGTTAAATTGTGCTCCATTCTTGGCTTTAAATCACATAAGCCGGAAGAGAAGGCAAGTACCAAGTCAGACTTCATCTGAAGCTTCTACATGGACCCACGCAAATCAAGCAACAAATAAAGAAGCTGCTTTAGTGAGCATAAAATCAGTAACTAAAGTGCGTGCATTCAGGCGGTAAAATACGCATAAGAAAGTGTGGGAAAATTCTTAAAATAAAAATAGATATAAAAAAATAAAATAACATAAATAAAATTAAATGGAACTAAATAAAATAAGTGAAAAATTGGCAGTCTTACGTGCGTTTAATTAAAAAAGATGTTTAATTTTTATCTCTAATAATTTACTTCCTTGTTTAGACATGCAAACTGTCATTTTGCACCTCTTGACGTTGCTAATTTCTCAACTGAAAACAAGTTGGAAACATGATTTTTCACAACATTTATTATTTCTTGATCAGTCGATCCAACGTGCATTCGCAGATACAAATGTATCTACTTTCAACCAATACACACCTAGAACCGCACACACAAAATTAATTACTTCATTTTTTTCAACATTAAATTGCATTCTGGACTGGCGGCGGGTCTCGTAAATGAAATTGTTTAACATAATTTATGGCATATCTGATTCAGCGCTCATAACCTGAGCATTTAACGTGCAACTTTCTATATTCGCGATAGTGCAATGTGATAATGCATCAGCAATTAAATTGCAGTTTGCGGTCGGTGGGGAGAGCGCTGCATTAACGGTGCACATAAAACATAGTTGGCAGCAATTTTTCGCCGATAAAATTTTTATTAAGCGAATAAAATTATAAATGCATAGCAAAAGCAAAAAGATTTCTTCAGCTTGATCTGTACAAATATTACCCATATATTTTTAAGTATTTAATATTTTATGGTTGAACCATGTAGTTATTTAACTATTTTCAAATATTTAAAGAAGAGATTTAATAGTCCATCACTGGAAAAAAATTTATTTTTAATACTATATAGCGAACATTCGAAAATTAGCGATATTTTGCAAAACAAACATTTAAAAATTCAGAATTTAATTGATTTTACAAGGGCGAATCTAAAGATGAAACAGTGAAGGACTAATGAATATGCATGAATTCTAAAATTATTTAGCACTGGGACCTAATTCAGTAATTTAAAGAACAAAATTTATACAAATATCTATGTGGTCACTTAGTTCTTAAGACATTCCAATATAGAGTTGGATAATGACTAAGCAGATGTGAAATACTAACTTTGTTTACTTACAGCTTCGACAAGAGAAAGGAAAATGATAGGGATTTAAATCCCTATCAAGGTTTACTAACCAGCAGTAACCAATCAGCAAATATACTGTATGCTAAATTTATCTAAATAATATCTAAATATATCACTCAATTTGTTTTTATTTAAAGGAGATTAGTATTATAGATACACTTAATATTATCATACCCTTTTTATAAGAATTTTGTAAGAATTTTGTATGAATTTTGTATGAAAAATGGCACATATTGCTGCATTTTTTCGGGTTAAATTCAAAAGTCTCAACATAGCATAATATGTGTATTTATCTGCGTATTCTTAAAGACGGTCGTAGTTTTTGTTATACAAACTATTATATGCCAAATAGTCACGGCATTTCGCGTTTTTTTTTTGGTTATGACCAAAAGGTATGTTATAGAGAAAGTGATATCATAGCATACATACGTTTACTACTACTTTAGTATGTTCTAATTTATAAGATAATTATTTCTGTATAAATATGTTTGCATATCCATCACAAAAATACACCTATTTACGCCTAATAGGCGAAAATTCTGACATTAGCCGTAATTTTTTCTTTCAGAGTTGTAAAAGAACAGCATTAAGTCTGGGAGAAAAGAATTGAACTCACCTTTAAAATATGTTAAGCTATTTTTTTTCACATATGTGTTTTGTTGTGTTGTGTGCAATAAGATATATAAAACCCAGCAGTGTTTTTGTTTCATATGCTATTTTTAAAATAAGCAGGTGTTCTTTTGTATTGTGCTTATAAAAAAAAAGCCTTACGTATTATTTTATAAATATAAAAATTTTAGAAATTCTTTTGGGTGCTAGCAGCTTGCCTCAATCATACAAATCTTTCGAATACCGCAGCGCATATTACATATTAAAAGTACTTAAATTTCTATTAATTATAAAAGATTAATTATAGACAACCTATGGTGTCCCTGTTTTATTGTCTAATATCATATATAGTCGATTTCACATTCATGATTTGTACCTCAAAACTGACTTAATTAATGCTTAAGTCATTTATATTGCTGATTTAATTCATACTGAAGTCAGTTATGAGGATTAAGCTACAACTCTCAAATCGGCCCTCATATGTACTATATTTACATTACCAACTTTAGTAAAGTAAATTTTTTAAAGTTGATTTAAAAACATCAAACGTTCAAAGTTCGAACTTTGTTATGCCTATATTTATATGACAAAGTCAGCTTTGGTAACTGGTTTTAAGCTCAAAGTCGATTTCCACCAGCGAAGTTCGTAATGTAAATACGATATTATTTTTCTTTAGTTAATAGCAACCCTGTGTAATAATTGACAAATGACAATTAACTCTGTTATGCTAACAACTCTGGATTTTAAATATTTTACTTGACTAAGCAAACCACTCTAAATAAAAATAGTGAATAAAAATGTCATAATCAAATATTTTTGATATATTTAAGTTGATTTCGAAAAAAATTATTGCTAATGTTTTAAAAATTCACACATTGAACGGAGTATCTACATTAAAGAAATTAACAATAATTATTTCTTTAATTCAAAACATTGGGTTTAACGCTAACATCAACATGAGCTGGCAAGAGTATATGGACAATCACCTTTTATCTTCGAAATGTATAGATAAAGCTTGCATCGCGGGGTTGGATGGGAATGTTTGGGCTCAGTCAAAAGACTTTGCAGTTACAAAGGATGAACTGTCAATGCTGATTTCTGGTTTCGAAAATATGAATGTGCTCATCAATAATGGTGTTAATCTGGCCGGACAGCGCTTCATATACATATCAGGTAGTGATAGCATTGTCCGTGCCAGATTAGGAAAAGATGGAGTACACTGCATGAAGACAAAACAAGCAGTCATCGTTTCTACATACAATGATCCTATCCAACCCCAGCAGGTCGCTATGGTAGTGGAGAAACTTGGCGAACACTTACTAAACTGCGATTATTAACTATAAATTTGTATATAACCATAAATATAAATACAAATACATTTATAAATATAAATGTAATTACAAATATATATAAAAACATGAAAAAACCCAACACCAAAATAACCTCAGAGAACAACTAGCTAAAATTAAATTAACCAATCAATTAACCAATTAATCAATCAAAACAAACCTATTAAAATGGAACTACTTTGAAACTTACTACCGTCTAAAAATAGTGTAGAAATAACTATAATAACTAAAATCCTGCGGTGAAAAAATACAATGTCAATCCATTTAAATCTATTAAAAGTAGGGTTCAAATATAAACCAGGCGATTTTCCGGAGGACTATATAAAAGTAAGTCTTTCCCTAAAGTATTTATATATTATACAGAAATAAATTTTTATACATAAATTTATAGATAGAAAATTATATTGAGAGGATATACTAACAATGTCGAAAAATCCAAATATAAATATTATAAATATATAAAGCAACCCGACTCCATACAAATAAATCAAAAGTAGCATCCAAAAATATTAAAATAACAAACCAGGCGATTTTTCCGGAGGACTATAATAACACTAAGAACGGAATATACAATAATTTTATAATATATAAAATAAAACATTTGTTTTGAAATATTTATTTATATGATTTTAATATTTAATTAAATCATAAAACCATATACTTTATGATTACATGCATTATATATATTTAAAATTCTGAAAATATAAAATATATAATTAATATATGAAATATTATGTGTTATTTATGCATAAGTGTAAATCGAGGTTTGTTTCTTTAGTACAGACTCATCCTGTTTCCCGTTCCACTTTACTATTCTTCAAATTCCGTTCCATGATCAATGGAATATCAGAACATTTTCATACTATGTGTTCTGCAACTTCTAGAACTTCGTGGCTAAATCCCAAACAGCTAAACCCATTTTTGTACATAGTATTTGGGCGTATTGTTGGTTGAACAATATAGATTTAAATATAATATCTGTTTGTGTTCAGTTTCTATCCTAATTAATTGATTTGTTGTTTCCATTAGCGAATCATATTCTTCAATCGCCTGAATTGTTAAAGCACTCTGTTCTTTCATTTCCTTCATGTTTATGAGGATTTGGTGTCAATTTTAGAGCTACAGAGCTACTTCCTTACTTTGACAGCCTGACGTTGGTAGAATTTTATTCCCACAGCGAATAAGTTCTGCTTTCGCTGTCTAATATCCAGAGCATTTCCAATTAAAGATAAATAGTTTTCCAGTACCTCATAAACCGTGAAAAAAAAAATAAAGCGTTAACTTCTCTATCATTCATTATTGCATTGAAGACAATACTTGGATCATTGGCTTATGGTTGCTATTGAATCGTAGTGAAAATTCTTCATTAGTCCAATACTACTATATGTACAATTTTTCTAGTAACAAAAATCTGTATACCAAAATATACTTTCCATATTAGTACCGGTTTTTTTTACCGCGTTTCGAATACCGCAGCGCATATTACATATTAAAAGTACTTAAATTTCTATTAATTATAAAAGATTAATTATAGACAACCTATGGTGTCCCTGTTTTATTGTCTAATATCATATATAGTCGATTTCACATTCATGATTTGTACCTCAAAACTGACTTAATTAATGCTTAAGTCATTTATATTGCTGATTTAATTCATACTGAAGTCAGTTATGAGGATTAAGCTACAACTCTCAAATCGGCCCTCATATGTACTATATTTACATTACCAACTTTAGTAAAGTAAATTTTTTAAAGTTGATTTAAAAACATCAAACGTTCAAAGTTCGAACTTTGTTATGCCTATATTTATATGACAAAGTCAGCTTTGGTAACTGGTTTTAAGCTCAAAGTCGATTTCCACCAGCGAAGTTCGTAATGTAAATACGATATTATTTTTCTTTAGTTAATAGCAACCCTGTGTAATAATTGACAAATGACAATTAACTCTGTTATGCTAACAACTCTGGATTTTAAATATTTTACTTGACTAAGCAAACCACTCTAAATAAAAATAGTGAATAAAAATGTCATAATCAAATATTTTTGATATATTTAAGTTGATTTCGAAAAAAATTATTGCTAATGTTTTAAAAATTCACACATTGAACGGAGTATCTACATTAAAGAAATTAACAATAATTATTTCTTTAATTCAAAACATTGGGTTTAACGCTAACATCAACATGAGCTGGCAAGAGTATATGGACAATCACCTTTTATCTTCGAAATGTATAGATAAAGCTTGCATCGCGGGGTTGGATGGGAATGTTTGGGCTCAGTCAAAAGACTTTGCAGTTACAAAGGATGAACTGTCAATGCTGATTTCTGGTTTCGAAAATATGAATGTGCTCATCAATAATGGTGTTAATCTGGCCGGACAGCGCTTCATATACATATCAGGTAGTGATAGCATTGTCCGTGCCAGATTAGGAAAAGATGGAGTACACTGCATGAAGACAAAACAAGCAGTCATCGTTTCTACATACAATGATCCTATCCAACCCCAGCAGGTCGCTATGGTAGTGGAGAAACTTGGCGAACACTTACTAAACTGCGATTATTAACTATAAATTTGTATATAACCATAAATATAAATACAAATACATTTATAAATATAAATGTAATTACAAATATATATAAAAACATGAAAAAACCCAACACCAAAATAACCTCAGAGAACAACTAGCTAAAATTAAATTAACCAATCAATTAACCAATTAATCAATCAAAACAAACCTATTAAAATGGAACTACTTTGAAACTTACTACCGTCTAAAAATAGTGTAGAAATAACTATAATAACTAAAATCCTGCGGTGAAAAAATACAATGTCAATCCATTTAAATCTATTAAAAGTAGGGTTCAAATATAAACCAGGCGATTTTCCGGAGGACTATATAAAAGTAAGTCTTTCCCTAAAGTATTTATATATTATACAGAAATAAATTTTTATACATAAATTTATAGATAGAAAATTATATTGAGAGGATATACTAACAATGTCGAAAAATCCAAATATAAATATTATAAATATATAAAGCAACCCGACTCCATACAAATAAATCAAAAGTAGCATCCAAAAATATTAAAATAACAAACCAGGCGATTTTTCCGGAGGACTATAATAACACTAAGAACGGAATATACAATAATTTTATAATATATAAAATAAAACATTTGTTTTGAAATATTTATTTATATGATTTTAATATTTAATTAAATCATAAAACCATATACTTTATGATTACATGCATTATATATATTTAAAATTCTGAAAATATAAAATATATAATTAATATATGAAATATTATGTGTTATTTATGCATAAGTGTAAATCGAGGTTTGTTTCTTTAGTACAGACTCATCCTGTTTCCCGTTCCACTTTACTATTCTTCAAATTCCGTTCCATGATCAATGGAATATCAGAACATTTTCATACTATGTGTTCTGCAACTTCTAGAACTTCGTGGCTAAATCCCAAACAGCTAAACCCATTTTTGTACATAGTATTTGGGCGTATTGTTGGTTGCACAATATAGATTTAAATATAATATCTGTTTGTGTTCAGTTTCTATCCTAATTAATTGATTTTTTGTTTCCATTAGCGAATCATATTCTTCAAGTCTGAATTGTTAAAGCACTCTCTCCTTTCATTTGCTTCATGTTTATGAGGATTTGGTGTCAATTTTAGAGCTACAGAGCTACTTCCTTACTTTGACAGCCTGACGTTGGTAGAATTTCATTCCCACAGCGCATAAGTTCTGCTTTCGCTGTCTAACATCCAGAGCATTTCCAATTAAAGGTAAACAGTTTTCCAGTACCTCATAAAGCGTGAAAAAAAAATAAAGCGTTAACTTAATTATCATTCATTATTGCATTAAAGACAATACTTGGATCATTAGCTTATGGTTGCTATTGAATCGTAGTGAAAATTCTTCATTAGTCCAATACTACTATATGTACAATTTTTCTAGTAACAAAAATCTGTATACCAAAATATACTTTCCATATTAGTACCGGTTTTTTTTACCGCGTTATGGGTTTCGGTTTTTTATTTTGTTAATAAAAAATGACTTAATTAAAATTTATAAAATTTTAGAGTCAACTAAAAATATAAAAAAATTGGATAGTATTTTTTATTATTATATGTTTGAATGACCAAATTTTCTTTGATCAAAGTGTCCTAAAGATTACTAAAGACTATAGTTAAAATATCATAAACATCAATAAAATATATTTTTTAAAACTAATTTAAGAAGTTGTACATTATTAAACATTGATCATTTGGGCCGTTTAAAAATATATATAGTTTTTTTATTTAAATTTTGTATATATAATTGTTTAATTTTTTATATATATTATTATATATTTTATATATATTATTATATATTTTATATATAATAACTAACATTTATGCACTTTTAGGCAATATGATATTTGTTTCTTTTAAAAAATTTTTTGCAAGGCACAACTTTTATTACAGCTAAGATAACAATTAGTTATTAATAGTTACTAGTTACTTTAGTAGTTCTGTATTATTAACTACGCCAACACTACCTATCGAGCACATAAATGGCGATATAAGTTGATATATAATAAACCTTTTGTGGTGACACAGATTATAGAGACATCTGTTCCAAGTGTGGTCATAATTTGTCAATATTAAGGAGTACATTCAGATATTAATCATAAGCAATCAGACATACTACAGAATAATTATACTAGTGAAATGTTTGATAAATTGAAGATGACAAAACTTCTATACTTTATATAGCAATATATTGACTGCAATCGGAAAAAGAAATTAAATCACTTCATTTATTGTAGAAGTCTACATTCTCTTTCTGTTGAGGCCTGCAATTATAATACTCTACCATAGTTCACTCATAACAAAAATTCCGTCACAAATCGGCTCTCACTAAAAAATATTTTTCTCCACACATTATCCCACTTTCAATGCTTTACCTAAAAGCAATGCATTTTGTTATAAATAAGCAAACTAAAGAAAAAGAAAACAAAATGAAACTCTACAAAGGCAACTCTACACAAAACAGAAAAAATGTAAAAGGAGAAACCTTCGAAATTTCGAAAAATAATACCCTTCTGTCCCAATATACTCGTAGTTCAGACCGGTTAGAGAGCGCAAAAGAACATTAAAAATATAAGGAGAAGTACTAATACTAGAACAGCATAAAATAAATTTTAGAAACCAGTTTACCCCTGTTTGTTAGGAGTAGAAGCAAAGAAGATGCTACAGAGAAGAGCGCAACATATAAAAACCGACCATTAAGAAGAAAAAAAGATGGTAAGACGCTTTACGACTGACT